CTAGATCCCAAATACAGACGACAGGACGCTGTGTTTAAGGTCCTTTTTGAGGACAAATCATTTTCTGTAGCAGCATCCTCTCCCCGTTTTAGCCATAAAGTATTCCTGCAGCAAAATCCAAAGTAGTAGCTGAGGGTTTGCAGCTTAGTGGCCCTACAAGTCACCAGCTACCACTATGTGGTGGTGTCTGTGTCTGAGGGCAGGTGGTCTGCTCACCTTGTGGTGTGTACTCATTATCTTCATGTAGTTTCCTTGTTTGCGCCTCCAGGGTCATATCATGGGCCAGGGAACCTACAAAGAGCTGCAGCGCTCTGGCCTGGACGTGGTGTCTCTGCTGAGAACTGATGAGGAGCAGGAGCAGTCTCGATCAGCTGATCCAGAAAAAAGGTCTTTAATCAGCCAGAGGACGAGTCTGTCACACAGTTCACACTGTTCCAACAGCAGCCTCCTGCCACCAGAGAGCAACGGTCCTGAACAGCCTGCTGTAGGTTTATTCACACAGAACATCATGTTGGTATTGTTTCACCCAAATTACAACTCATTAACTTGAATTTTTCTGGCATAAGTAAACATAGGCCTATATGTTTAGACTACAAAGCTCCCACTTAAAATATGGCTCATTAACTGTGTGAAGAATTTGGCCTCAGGTAAAACACAATAAATGGTCCGGTAATACTTGTTTTGCAGGTTGAAACAGTCGGCGCCCTTGAAGAAGAGAATCGAGCTCAAGGAAACGTCAGCTGTCACATTTATCTTCAGTACTTCACTGCGAGCTGTAGCCTCCTGGTTTTAATTCTTATAGTGCTGCTCAGTGTCGTTGCAGAGGTAAGGAAGCTGTACTACAACACCTGGTAATGTTAAACTGAACACATTAATGAGAAATGAAATCGATAAACTGAATTACAGTTAGAAAACACATGTTGTATTTCCTACTTAGGTTTAATTGCTATGAAGTGATTTACAACAGGTTAAAAATAGGGACAAAGTTGTCTCACCCCTGTTGGCACGTCTTCTGGTGACCTGTGTGTTCCATCCATGACAACATGCTGACTGACCTTTGTGTCCACAGACTGCGTACATCCTGCAGGACTGGTGGCTGGTGTACTGGTGAGCTCTTCATTCATGTGGATGTGTATGTCATGACAAATAAGTGGTTGTTGTGTTGTGTTATGTCTGGTCTGATTTGTTTGTTTTGTCAACCAACAGGGCAAGAGAGGAGTATTCTAACAGCACAGCAACTGCTGTTCACGTAAAGAATGGAATTAACGTGACTCGCTCAGCTCGAGAGTTAAATCTCACGTTTTATCTTGGCATTTACTCAGGTACGCCTTCTGTTGTATGTTATTATATGTAAATGGCACCTTGACATCAAACAGATGTGTTGACTGTGATGGAGCATGTGCAGACGTGGCAAAATAAACTGTGTAGGTGTTGAGTTCAAATAAATGTAATGTAATATGGGACCATACAAGAAAAAGGCATCAGTGTGTATCAATGCTGGACTGTCTGGTAGTTGGAGCACATTTTCTGATATCCTAACGTATGCAAGGAACAATATCTGTATGTGGTGCCGCAATAGCTCACTCGGTTGAGCTGGCACGCCTCGTATCGGTCAACAGTCCCGATGTGGAGGTTGTGAGTTCGAAGCTGGCTCACGGCTGATTCTGTTACGACCTGTCCAGGGTGTCCCCTGCCTTCGCCCTGAGTCAGCTGGGATAGACTCCAGCCCCCCCCGTGACTCTAGTGAGGATTAAGCGGTGTATAGATAATGGATGGATGGAATATTTGTTTGTCATGGATAAGACCACCTCCCATTAAATAGAAATGCATTTCTGTTTTTTTTTCCACAGTGACCTTCTGAAAACACACACAACATATTATTGTTTGTGTTGATTTTTTTTCTACTGTTTTTGCAAAAAAAAAAAAAAAAGAAGAAGAAATAATCTCAATAATTAGAAATGTCTTTGGGAAAATAAAGAATTTGCTGCCGTAAAACAAAAGATCAAAGGATTTGCTCAAAAGTTAATCCTGCTCTTTTTACCTCCAGGCTTGACGGCAGCTGCTGTGGTCTTTGGTTATATCAGGAGTTTAATAATATTTAATCGGCTGGTGAGATCGGGTCAGACTCTACACAACAGCATGTTCAGCACTGTCCTCCGCACGCCTGTCCACTTCTTTGACGTCAACCCTGTAGGTGAGCTCTGTTCAGAATTTGTTTTGCATTCAAGAACGAAAATAACTTGAACCTATTAAGTATACACTTGTAGGTCTCGTATTTCTTTATTAGATTGTCTTTTGAGTTTAAACTGTTCACCGACATGCTGGTAAAATGTGACGGTCTCCCCGTGCTTTAGGAAGAATCCTCAACAGGTTCTCCAAAGACATCAGCCAAATGGACTCCATGCTGCCCATCACCTTTGTGGACTTCTATCAAGTGAGGAACTCCTCTTGGTCGGACGACCCCACACGCTGCCTCTGCCCTAAATAGGACTTCAGTATTCCTCACCTTGTGATGGTTTTTTTCTTATAGTTAATTCTACAGAATGCCGGCGTGGTTGCCGTGGCAGCTGCAGTCATCCCTCTTGTCCTCATCCCCGTTGTCGTTCTGCTCATAATCTTTCTGTACTTGAGACGCTTCTACCTCAGCACATCACGCGACATCAAACGTCTCGAGTCAACAAGTACGCTCATGGATTGTCCTCATTATATCATGATATGTATAAAAAAACTGATTCAAACTTTACATTAAATGACTTTGGCCTGTCCTGCAGCTCGGAGTCCAGTCTTCTCCCACCTGTCCTCGTCTCTTCAGGGTCTGTGGACGATCCGAGCCTTCAGGGCTGAGGAGAGATTAAAGAAAACCTTTGACGCCCATCAGGACCTGCACTCAGGTTTTATGTTTCTGTTGCATCTTCATGGTTCACATTTAGACTTCACACGCTGGTGTGTAAATATTTGAAACCTGGAAAGCTGTAGTGTTTGAAGCTTCAGCTGCCAGTGAATGCAATGTTTCTGTGCTGGAAAGATGCTCTCTGTGGTAATGTCTTGTCTCCTTTTCTGTTGTTCCAGAGGCGTGGTTTTTATTCCTGATGACCTCACGCTGGTTTGCACTTCGACTTGACAGCATTTGCTCCTTGTTTATCACTATCACCGCGTTCGGCTGTATCTTACTCAGAGAAGGTGAGACAGTATTTTCCCAAACAGAAAGATGTTCGTCTATCACACAGTGAACCTTTAGAAATCGATGCGATCTGACTGTTTTCTGGAGGAGGGCACTGCTGACATGTGTGCTGCAGTTGAAAATCATTCACACTGATGAGCGGAAAAGTATTAGTATCAGTTGTGCATCCTTATTTCTGTGATTGTGTGTCGTGTGTGTCAGGGCTGGAGGCCGGAGAGGTGGGCCTGGTGCTGACCTACGCTGTGACCCTGGTGGGAAACTTCCAGTGGACAGTGAGACAGAGTGCCGAGGTGGAGAACATGGTAAAATAGTTTAGTTTTTAATTTCATTCGATGTTCACGTGGTCTTGTGACCTACTTATTGGTGATCAGGTCCAGTTTTTCCAGGAAACAACTGAACAAAGGCTCAACAGATGAGCTGAGAGAATACTAATACTGATGAATGGATGGATGTATCTGCTCAGCATTTATGTATTTTACTAAATGTTCCTGCAAGTATTGTGGCACTTGAGTCAGGAGGAACATGGAACTAAGGATTAAGACACCTTTTCTTCTTTTCATTGATCTACTAATGTCTGGATTGTGCTAAAGCCTGACCGATACTGGGTTACTTTTGGGGCCGGTACCTATTTTATACCGCTTGCTGTGATACTGACTCTGCTGTCTACATGTGTTTCTGATAGTATTGCAATCAAAAGAGTCACATCGCACTCTGCTGGACAAACTGTGTGTCGACACCATTTTAAACTTCTATCCCAAGCCTCTTTAAAATAAGCTCCCATATCAGACAGCGTACGTGGTGATACTGATGTCTCTGTAATGGGCCAGAATCGGGGGGAAAGGAAATTAGCAGGCCAACAAATTGGTTGGGGTCTAGATTGCACCTCATGTATGTTGCTTTGGACAACAGCTTCAGCTTTCCAGGACAGAAGGTTTTGTGTGCTGTACAGAAGATCAAGTCCTGAAAGGTACACTTGGGATTTTTGATGTTGGTCTGTATTGAAAAGAGAGGGTTTGACTTCCGACTGTTGAATAAATGTCAAAGTAGGACACAAAAAGCAGAACTCAAACGAACCTTTTGTCTTTGTAGATGACCTCTGTGGAGAGGGTGGTGGAGTACACACAGCTACAGAGTGAAGCACCCTGGGAAACCCAGAGGCGTCCTCCCCCTGACTGGCCGAGCAAAGGCCTGGTGACCTTCGACCAGGTCAGCTTCTCCTACAGCACGGACGGCCCCATCATCCTGAAAGACATCAGCGCCACCTTTCATCCCAACGAGAAGGTAACGCATCTCTGTTCACAGACAGGACACAAAGAAAGTCTGGACCTGATCGTCATATGTTCAGACAGCTGACTGTGTCTGTCCGTCAGGTTGGTATTGTGGGCAGAACAGGTGCTGGGAAGAGCTCCCTGGTCTCAGCTCTGTTCCGCCTGGCAGAACCTCAGGGAAAGATCTCCATCGATGGTGTNCAGACCGGTACAGCAGTCTGCAGGGTTGAAAGGGTGAAGTCACAGTGGCCAAGTGCCTGATAATAATTGACCAGCGGGTTACACAAACACCTTTTAAGAAACTTCTTGAAAATTGTGAACATTACATGTCACCTAATTGAACATTTATTGAGCAGTCACACACACACTAACCTGTTTCACGACCTGTCTCACGACCTGTCTCACGACGGTCTAAACCCAGTCTCACGTTCCCTATCAATAAGTGAACAATCCAACGCTTGGTGAATTCTGCTTCACAATGATAGGAAGAGCCGACATGAAAGAATCAAAAGGTGACGCCGCTTTGAACGCTTGGCCGCCACAAGCCAGTTATCTCCATGGGAACTTTTGTCACACCTTCTGCTTGAAACCCAAAAAAGTCAGAAGCGATATGATTTTTTTCCACAAAAGTAGTGACTGTATAGGGTCACAATTTTTGTTGCATTTCTGATCTTGTCGTGCCGTGTTTGCCAGCTGAAACTCTTGGTGGGTGTGTCAGCTTGTGTTTATTAATAGGAAACTCATCATGAAGTCAAAACAGGTTTCATCTCACAAACTAGTTTTAATGTGGAGCCTTCAGGTTGCTATTTAATTCTAGCCACTAAGAGCCTTGTTTAGGTGTGGCACAGCTTACCAAACCGCTGATGAAGCCAACATCAGCTTCACCTTTTAGCTTCATCAGTGAGTTAAGATTAAATACTAAATGATGTTAAAAAGTGACGTAGATAAGAAATGGTAGATTTTCCTTGAATCATCCAATTCTTAGAACAGGTTCTGCTCAACCATCTGTGATTGAGCAACAGTGCTCCTTCAGTTTATTTCACCAAGCTCACACGTTGTCTTATCTTCCCAGGAAAGAAATCGGTCAGATACTGAAGAGCTCCTACCTACGAGGACTCAACATGGCCTCCTTCTTTGCCAGCAGCAAGATCATCGTCTTTGTCACCTTCACCGTCTACGTTGTCCTGGGCAACGCCATCACTGCCAGCAGCGTGTTTGTCACTGTGTCTCTCTATGGTACAATCAAGCTCACGGTCACCCTGTTCTTTCCTCTGGCCATTGAGAAGTTGTCAGAAACAATCGTGAGCGTTGACAGGATTGAGGTAATTCTGGTCTCTGTTACACATAACCACACGCTTGATTTAACAGACCGATTTCTGAACTGCTGTCAGTGAATCGAGGCTTTAGAATCAACACCCAGTTGTTCAACCACCAGAGTCACTGATCGGTTTTATGCTTTAATCCTCCGCCGGGGACGGCAAAACGTCATAGGAAGCAGGAGCATTTCCACCTCTACGTGACTTTTAGAAGAAAAAATATATAAAAGTCCTACAAAGCCATGCAAGGGAATAACTTGCAGGTAACATGAGGAGAAGAATCTTTATATCCACCAGTTCAGTTAGAAACTAGACCATGCTTTTAGGCTGGACTATTGCAATTCCT